GAAGTCCTGGCTAGAGTAACAATAGGAATTTCTGGTCCCAAACATTCCTGTATGAAATAACTGGAATTGTTGCTGAAAACAACGTTGTTGTATTCACATCTGTAGTTCAGCCATAGATTGTTGTTCAGTACGGTTTCGTTGTAACAGAACGGTTCGGTACTGTTCCAGTGCATATCAGAGATACAAGTTACACATTCCCAAAGGGGCAAAGAGTTTTTGTCGGTTATTTTAATCAGGTGCCGCGATCCAGGGTTTTGTTCAGTAGTTCCAATGGCATATCTGGAAAGCACCACACAATGAAGAAGAAAAAGATGTCAAAACTGAGGTGGTACTCACATAAACGAATTGTCTTCATCCCAAACTAGTACCTTGACGATCTCAAGGGCGCCATGAGTCAAAGGCATCAGTCGGCCTTTGTAAATTACGCAAACATGCATATAATTATATATAATGTATATAATATAATTTAGCGAATGTTGCATGTTCTCGCACAATTGCACTTTATAGCTTAAAATGTCGCAACTACCCAACTTTTAACGGTGTCGTAGTATCAAAGTGCATTAACGTTTTCTTTGAGAAATTCGCATCTTTGAATTTGAGCAAGTAGCATCGTGTGTTAGACAATAGTTGGCTAGTTGGGAAATTTCGATGTGGATCTCAAAATTGATGATTTTGTCTTACAGCGTTTCGGTCCTAAAAAACTATCTAGAGCGAGTAGCAGTTTGAAAAATTTACCATTTTCAGAAAACACACCATTTCACAAGAAAAGTTCAAAATCCAAATTTTGCTCAGCTTGCCATACTTTCAAACATTCCTCTACTAATCCAGACTAACTCAAATGTGTGCAAAACAACCCAATCTAACAGAAGCTGACCCAAGCTAACCCAAACTGAGCTAAACTACCCGAAATAAACCCAAGCTAAAACATACAGCAAAAATAAAGTTGATAGCTACTGAAACCTTTAAACCCTCCCTTAGATCCAGATCTCTGCTGTGATGTTGCCCAGATCACGTCGACATTGGCTGGCTTTGATAACTCGCTTCCATTTGCCAGATGCCCCACCTGCGTGAAAAACATCCAGAGATTCTTCTGCGCCTTCTCCTGCTCACCCTTGCAGTACTACATGACTGCTGACTACAAGGTGGCCACCAACGCAGCAAATAAAGGCATCCGGCAACACTCCAAGGGCGTTAAACGAAATTAACTGTAGCTGTTTGCAGAATACGCCTCCGAAGTGGTGCTGTATGCGAGCAATACAACTCTGAGCGATATTTACCAGTCGTGCAAAGATGTTTCCCTACCCAGTACTGGGGAGCCAGTTCTTCAAAGCGCTTGTGGAAACTACGGCTCGATCTGGTGCACTCCCAAGAGGTTTTGCCTCCAAAAACTCCAATCTATTTGTTGGTAATTCGATCGGTTCCAGGTGGTTTGAGTATATGAACGATCCAGATGAAAACCCATTTGCGCCGTTTAAAATCACCTTTATTGACGACCCGTCCTATGAGAGTCCTTTGGACTTTCGCGTTATTTCCTGTGAGGACTCTTATGTAAGTACCTGATTCAACTGGACTGGAGATGGTGATCAATGCAAATTGCAGGAAAACTCTTCTGCCTGTGGCTGCTCTGATTGCCCAGTGAACTGCCCGAGCAACAGCTACGAAGACATTGATGTGCAGCATCTGATTTTTTCCGATATCAACATCTACGCGTTTTATGTTGCTATTGGTCTGGGGTGTTTGGGGATTTTCTCCTTTCTCATTCTCCTACTGGCTTCGAGAATTCTCAGCTCTACCTCCAGTGGTAAGTGAACATTTTGGAAACCGCTCACTAGTTAAACTGGCATGTTCCAGCAGCAACTAAAAACAAACTTGATGTAACCATCCAGGAAAAGGTCCATGGGTTTCTGTACAGATTCTTCAGGGCTTGGGGAGTTGGTAAGTCGAAGACCCACTCCTAGCTGCAGCAAGTCAACCAACTGCTCTTTCAGCTATGGCTTCAAGATGGCACTTGGTGCTTCTGCTGAGCATTGCGGTGGCTGTTGTCGCCTCATGTGGCATTTTTTACTTGAAAGTAACCACTGATCCGATAGAACTGTGGGCTTCGCCCAGCAGCAGAAGCAGGAAGGAGAAGGACTTCTTTGACACCTATTTTTCCCCGTTCTACCGGACGAATCAGGTGTTCATCCGGGCGGCTTCCATGAGCTCGGTGAGGGGCATTTTCCCCCAAAAAACGCGTAACTAAGACAATGGTTTCAGTTCTATTTCAGCTCTAACTATGGAGGGGACATTATGCTGGGACCCGCCCTGGACAGCACGTTTTTGGAGGAAGTCTTCAAGCTGCAGAAGCAGATAGAGAATGTAAACTACTGTCCATTCAGTTCGCTGGCGCGGATGCTGCATAGTTGTTTATTTAGATTACGGTGGAAGTTGAGGGCGAAACCATCGGACTCAAAGACATCTGCTACTCTCCCCTGCGAACTCCGTTTTATGGGAGCCGATCAATTGACGAATGCACTGTGATATCGCCACTGGGCTACTTTGGAAACAGCATCGAGACGTACAAGAAGGACATTAAAAGCAGCACGGAGAAAATCATCGGATGCCTCCAGTAAGGTGGCTAATTATCGAAATTACCCAATTTTTAATCAAAAGTTTGTCTTAGAGCTCCCACTGGATTAAATTGCTTGGCCCCCTACGGGGGCCCGGTTATTCCAGGAGTTGCGATGGGAGGCGCTAAACAGCAGGACCATTTGGATGCTGTCGGAGTTACCCTCACTTTCATAGTGACAAACAAGCAGGATAAGAGCGAACTTACCGGAGCTTTGGCTTGGGAGAAAAAGTCGAGGGCTTGTTCTTCGCGGGGAGTTTTTTACTGAAAGTGTTCTTGTAGGTTTGTGGACTTTATGCAGGAATGGGATGCTTCGGAAGATAAGCCGGAGATCTTGGATGTGGCGTTCAGCGCTGAGCGCTCAATTCAGGACGAAATCGAGCGACTGTCCAAGTCGGAAATCACTACTGTTGTCATCAGCTACTTGGTCATGTTCACTTACATTGCCGCCTCTTTGGGGAAAATCGTTAAATGGCAGGAAATGCTGGTAATGTTTCAGGAAACAAAAGTTTCAATTTTCCAAGAATCGACTTATTCCAGCTGGAGGCTAAACTGGTGTTGGGAATTGGGGGCATTTTGATCGTTCTCTCCTCAGTTAGTTCGGCGGTTGGACTGTGCTCGTACTTTGGAGTAACCACCACAATGTTAACTTTGGAAGTCATTCCGTTTCTTGTCCTCGCTGTAGGCGTGGACAATTTGTTCATTGTGGTGCAGGCCCATCAAAGGAAAACCAAGTGAGTTGCGATCCAGTCAAACTGGGAAACGATTTTTTGGGGTTTCATGGCCCATTTTCCAGGATTCCCGATCAGACAGTGGCCGAATCAATAGGCGACACTTTAGGAGCAGTGGGGCCTAGCATGATGATGACTAGTTTATCCGAAATTTTGTGCTTTGCTATTGGTAAGTTTCTTGTGCGTAAGATCTTGCCCGCACCGGTAAAACACTGCTTTTCCTGGTGCAACGATTAGAACATTTTTAGCATCCGCAGGACAAAAAATTTGGAACCATCCAGAGCCTGTTTCTGAACGAAGTAAAATTTAAAAAGAGTTTGGAATTTGTTTGATTTTTCGAATATGTTTCGTGACAAAAGTATGAATTTTCCAATTTTAATGTTAAGAAATTATCTCCAACGTGCAAAGCCGCGCAAAAAAATGCGCAACTTCTCAACGTCATCCAATGTAAGGCTGTAATTTTGGACATGTATAGAAAGAGCCTCAGTTATTAAGTGGGCAAAATTTCAATTCATTTGGACATTTCGTTCATTTATCGAATTTTTTTAAATTTTCTAATGAAAAGGAAAGTTTTCCTAACGTGCACAACTGCCTCTAAAAATTCGCAGCTTCCAAAGTTGATCCCTCAAAAGGCTGCAATTTTGTTTTGTGACTCACAGCTTGAAGCTCACAAACTTGAATAGCTGAAAAACTGCAATTTGGACGTACATTGGAAACCTTAGTATTTGGAAAGCTTAGTTATGAATTGTTTAGAATTGGGGTCGATTGCAAGCATTTCTATGTTTTTCGGAGCACATTCCCAACCATGCTCCTCTCTGCAAAAAGGTTCGACCCTCCCAATCTGAAGCAGATAGAAGAGTTAAAATTTCCAGGATTTCAGCTGAAGCTTTAACTAATATGGGATGCAATTAGGAATCAGTCAATATACAGTCTTCGGTTAGTTTCAGGATTGTTTCTTCAAGAAATAACGTCTTTCAACGTCTCAAACGCGCACGTCTGCGGTTAAAAATGCACAACTTTCAAATTTGAGCCGATTAAAGGGCGATTTTGCGGATGCCTACAGCCAAGGCCTTTGCTAGTTGGTGTACAAAATTTCTATTGATTTCGATGTCCGATTCAGCCCAGAAATTTTTTTTATTTCGAAGTAATTCAGCAAATAGTCTGAAAATGTTCGCCAGCAGATCAAAATGTCGAGAACTCAGAATGCGGCCAGAATCAACTGCTAACATTTTACAAACTTACAGTAGAAGTCCCCCTTATTACGTGCGTAAAACTCCAATTGATTTGGAGCTTCTTTGAAGTTCCYGGAWTTTTTYCAATTTCAGCTGTAATTYATAAAATTGCCTCAAACCTGACAMAAGTAKGAATTTTCCAATTTCAATGTTAAGAAATTATCTCCACGTGCAAATTCGCGCARAAAAATGAGTAACTTCTYAACGTCATCCAATGTAAGGCTGTAATTTTGAACATTTAWAGAAAGAGCCTCAGTTATTATGTGGGCAAAAAAATTGAAGTCCCCTTATTACGCGCGTAAAACTCCAATTGATTTGGAGCTTATTTGAAGTTTCTTGGATTTTTTCAATTTCAGCTGTAATTCGTAAAATTGCCTCAAACCTGCGCTACTTAAAAATTCCCAACTTCCAAACTAAACCCGCCATAAGGCCGCAATTTATGAAATTTTTAGCAAAAGTCTTAGTTGAATTGAATTTAGATCTCCCTTCAGTTTCAACAATTTTTGAAATTTTTAGTTAGTCAGAAAACCACCTTAAGCGGCCTTAAAATCCTTATAACTCCTATGCGACAGCTGCTATAGTTTAGCTAAGTTATAATCGTCAGTTATAATGTGAAGCAAATTTCAACTAAAACTGATTAATGGATCAGGTTTTGGATTTTTTAAAGTTTCCGCTAGACTGTAAAAACTGGTCAAAACTCCAAATTGGGCTTAAATACAAGGACGGTGTTTTGTTATTCAGGTGGCAAATTTGCAGCCGATTCAAAGCTCTCCTGCGGATTCTCGGAAAAAAATCGCAACTCTGAAATAACGAACGGTATAAGGCTGCAATTTTCGAATCTGGTAAAAGATGCCTTAGTTATGGGGTATAAGAAAATGTATTACAATTTGTCATTTTGTTTAGTGTTTATAATTTTTTGATTTTATGCCAGTCGGCTCCGCGCCCTGATAGTGTGTTTGAGCACCCAAACTTGAGCAACTGTAAACCTGAAATTTTCCCCTGTGATGAAACTTGCAAAGCAGGAATCAATTCAAAGCTTTCGTCGATTTTTGGCCAATTTTCCGACTCCAGCTTCTGTTCCAGGCTCGCTTTCTTCTATGCCAGCCGTCCACACGTTTGCCGTTTACGCCACCATAGCGGTGGCTTTTGACTTCATTTTCCAGATTACTGCCTTTTTGGCTCTGCTCAGTCTGGACCAGAAACGATACGACGTGAGTGGCTTTTCTGAAAAAACAAATGTACCCCGTTTTTTACCGAATTTTTTACCCGAATTTTAACCTTCCAGGCTAATCGACTGGATGTGCTGTTTTGCATCAAACTCCACACCCAGAAAACCAACAAGCCGCCAATAATTTCCACGTTTTGGAAAGAAAAGTTCACTCCAATTATCATGAAGTAGGCAAACAATGCATGAAAAACCCAGTTTCTAACTCTCTGGGCATATTTGCAGGTTCCCAGTTAGGGTGATTATTCTGATAGTCTTCCTGATTTCCACCAGCATTTGCGTTTCGATTGCACCTTCAGTTGAGCTGGGTTTAGAGCAGGAACTATCCATGCCAACCGATAGCCATGTGCTAAAATACTTCCAGGTAAGCGGCCGAATTCCCGCTGGAAACACTGGATGATTGGGATTTTCAGTACTTGAGCAAACTGCTAGGCACCGGACCTCCGATCTACTGGGTGACGAAAGGAAGTGTAGATTTTACCAGCTTGGAAGTCCGCAACAAAATGTGCAGCGGAGTTGGTTGCGATGATAACTCCATAGTGACTCAGTTGTATTTGGCAGCGCAAGCTAAAAACATGTGAGTTGTATGGAGTTTTTGTTCAATTAATCTTAGTATGACTTTTGCTTAAACAGAACATACGTTTCCACGCAAGCGAACTCTTGGCTGGACGATTTCCATGACTGGGCTAATTCCTCTCAGTGCTGTAAAGAGTTCATAACAAATTCCTCCTTCTGCCCTCACACTTACACCACTGATCTCTGCTGGTCTTGCAATTTGAGCGCTGGCGACTTGGACTATCCGAGTAATTATTCCAGATACTTGCCCTATTTTCTCATGGATAATCCTGACTCGTCTTGTGCCAAAGGAGGACATGCTTCCTACTATCAGGTGAGGTTTACTCAACAAATTGCAGCCTTATATTGGGTCAAGTTTGCGAGTGTGTGCACTTTAAGGCATAAATGAGCTCGGGCGAGGCCCTTTTGTTAGAATATGAATTAAATCTTCAATATCATTGACAATTGCCGCACTTATTGCCGAAAATAAGCGCGTAAAATTTCACTGGTCTAGTTTGAGATTTCTCTACTGTTTCACCGAAAATTTGCAATATTTTTTTCGAGAATACAGAAGGTTTAAAAATTCCAGAAAATGACCCACAATCAATCAATCTCCATCATATCAATCATCATATTCCAAATTAAGGCCTTATGTCGGCTTAAGTTTGCAAGTTATGAATTTGTTTAAGGCACCGGTTGGTACGTTTGGAACCATTTCTTGAATTAGAGCGCAACTTCAAAAAAACCCTGAAATTGAACTATTGCCCCAAATTGATTGCACTTTTCTGGCCTTACTAGCTAAGGCTTCAGTTGTAGCTCGGGAAAATTTATATTTTGTTCAGATTGGCCAGTGTTTTACGTACAATTTAGACTCAAGTGTACCGGTTTGATTCCCGCTTTATTTTCAGTTAAAATTCAAAAAAATTCTGAAATCAATTGAACGCTCGAAGAGGTCATACCAAAGGCTTTAGAGGTGCAAAAAGTTGTGAATTTTTAGGCGCCGGCGTATGGGAAAAATGTTTCCTGGTCACTGAAAACTTGAAAAATTCCTGAAACTGAACGAGGGCTCCGAATCAAGTGAAAATGTGAACACTTATTTACTGGGGTTCGCTTTATAAATACTCCAAGTTGCAGGCATATATTTTATGAAATTGGGGAGTTACGGGCTTTGGAGATTCTTTCCTGATTTGGAGTTGGGCAATTTCAATTTTTCTCCTCAGATAATTTTCAAAAAATCAACCAGGGCTCAAAATCCGTTGCAATATAAATTTGGCTACAATCATTTAGAACTTTAGATGGAAATCTGCTCCAGATTGGGGGCTTGGATTTTTAAACTTCCAAATTCAGCAAAAATCAATCAAAGTTCCAATTTGGGTGCAATTTTGCACGATTAAAGCCGAAAGCTTTGACCAGCCGGGTTCAAATTTTCAGCCTTTGGCAGCGTCGAGTTTGCCAGTTATGAATTTTTAAAACTTCCTTGCAGGGCATTTCATTTTTAACTGACGAAATTGGATACACCAATGTAACAGCTTCCAGCATCATGTCATATCACACAGTCCTCACTACGTCTAAAGACTACATCGAAGCACTGAAATATGCGCGATTTATCGCTGATCAATTGACGGAAACTCTTGGGATTGATGGTGTGGAGATCTTCCCTTACAGGTACTTAAGGAAACCAAAAAGTGATTTCTTCAAGCAAAAAACTCATTATTTTGCAGCATCTTCTACGTTTTCTATGAACAATACTTGACCATCTGGGTGGATTTGCTGGAAAACCTCAGCTACTCAATGTTGCTGGTTTTTGCTGTTTCCCTAGTCGTTACTGGTTTTGACCTGTTTGCTGCCTCTGTCGTTCTACTCACAGTTGCAATGATCGTGGTTCACTTGATGGGTTTTATGTACGTTTGGAACATCTCCTTGAATGCCATCTCGTTGGTCAATCTCATAATGGTAAGTCCAGTGGCAAAATTGAATTTTAGCTTAAAAAATTGTGTTTTAGAGCGTTGGAATAGCTGTAGAGTTTTGCGGCCACCTCGTTCACTCCTACACGTTTTCCAGCGAAAAATCCTCGCTGGATCGCGCCATCGATTCTTTGGGGAATATGGGAAGTTCGGTGAGTAGAGGCTTGTTCAGATGCTGTAGCAGATGGAGGATTTTTGAGAGTTTTTGGTAGATTTTATCGGGCATTACGCTGACGAAATTTTCGGGGATTATGGTGCTGGCTTTCTCCAGCTCGAAGATCTTCCAGATTTTCTATTTCCGCATGTATTTGGGAATTGTGCTGATTGGCGCGCTTCACGGGCTCATATTCTTACCAGTTTTCCTAAGCTTTGCTGGTAAGTCTGGATGCTTTCCGTTAATAAAGATTTATGCATAATTTTCTTTCAGGTCGCATCAAGTATCCAGAGTAGCTGTATTGTGATATTTTGTTGTCAATTGTACAAAAAATAAGCAGATTAAGCTACCGAGAATGTCCTCGAGCGTTATGTGGCCTCACTGGTTATTGGCAGTCGATTTGCGTAATAAATTATATATTTTTTTAGTACAACAGCTCTAATTCGCGCATTTACGTCCGCAAAGGTTAAGCAATTTGTCGCATATCATCCGCTCGAATTGTTTAAACAAACAACAAATCGGGCGCTAATTAATTGCTGAAATATTTCTCAATATCTGATGTTTTTGGGGGAGAACACAGTTAGACCGAGGATAGATTTGACTGCTTATACTGAAACTTTTGAGTGCACATCAGCTAAATGAGCATTTTAGCGACAATTAAATTAACGCCAGAGTACACCGGAATGGATAATTTGCGACAATTAATTGTACTAGTTTAATAACAAAGTCGATTAAAAGGGAACCATATTTGTTAGGAATTTGTGTGCTTCGACATCGTTGAGTTGAAAGGAATTCTCGATTTAATATTTCGAGAGAGAAATTAATAATCGCAATTATTATGTTCGCATTTTCAAAGCGTTTGATCTCCGACGCATTGTTAAAGCCGTCATAATATTCGTAATTAATTTCGGAGCTGTTAAAGTATACAATTTCAGCTCATTTTATGTTGAAATTCGATTTAATAATCAACAAATATACTTTTCAGGGGCTTTTTCCCGATTTATTTTCACATTTTTATCGTTATCTCAGCAAGTTTCTTAGTTACTCTTCTGGTAAGCGGAGTTTTAGGTCTTATTGATGGTCAGCAGCTTGTTTGGTGATTTTCATAAATCCACACATATTTTTCCAAAAAAGTCCAGCAAAATTAGTGCATTTGTATGTGTTCCAACATTTTCTTGGATCGGACTGGCTTTTAACTTAACATTTGAAAAAAATTGCGACGTTTTAAAGCCCAGTTTTGATATTTTGCAACTATTCATAGCTTCTGTATTTTTCAACGAATTTGAGCGTTTGAAGGGGCAAAAACCGGGAAAATTAACGAAATTTCACATGCCTTTAGATCTTCTTGAATCGCAGTCAGATACCGAAGTTGATTTTCAAACTATACATTTTTGAAAAGAGAAGTTTAGTCGATTGCGATTTCACTCTTACATGCATATTTCTTAGCCTTTAGGCTCTGATTAATTCCAAATGTTTGTCCTTCGAAGTAAAGCTTTTTGCAATCACTTTTCAACATTTGATCGATATGACGATGCTGAGTTTCTGGCTATGCATTTTAAAAAAATTGAGGAAATTTCTTAATCAACATTGAATATTTGAAACTCGGTTTACACTTTGACTAATTTTCGAATTTTCCTCTTAACATTGAAGCTTTTAGCTACAATTGTCGAAATTTTCATGCAGATCCTGAAGCTGAGATTCACGTTATGAATTTTTAATGAAAAGGTTTAGCTATGTGCCAGTTCACTCTCTTATAAAAATTAATCCAWTTTTTTCTGAACTCTTACTAGTCTCATGTGTTTTTCSTAACTATTAACAGATGTTTTGGCTACAACTCCTAGAAATATCACTCGGATACCATAGCTGAMTASCAAGGTATGAATTTTTGAACAAATGCTTACTTAGACGCGGTTTTCTTTAACGTTAAAGATTCTCCAAACTTCCCTTGATCCATAGCAAATTTATAAACACTGTGCACTCAAGCAAGAAGCTTTTTGCTACAAATCCTTGAAAATTGCRCAMAAATATTGCGGCTGAGTYCCAAGCTATGATTTTTTGAACATAATYGGYTTAAGWGYGGCTTTACTCTCATGTAAAAATWTCCCAAAACTTCCCTTGAGCGGTGACTACTTTTGRGRYTTGTCCACTKARCAACGAWGMTTTGCGCCATAAGTTCCAGTTTTAATRCGGCAAGCTGGAATARAGCTTCTKMAAGCCGCATTWTAACATTTACCTTAATTTTTAAAACAAAACCGACYTCATAAATCTTAGTTTTCTATGTTGCAATGTCTCGAGCATCCGCATTTTGCAGCGGATTTCAGCGTTCGAAAATGCAAAGTCCAGGATTTAACGTTTTTAGAAATCGAAATAGAAATAGAATAGGACTCAAATTAACACTGGYCAAGAAAAAACGCAAAAATTTACSTTTTTTAATGCTGCAACTCGGAATAAAGCTTGYRAAAGCCGCTTCTAGTGTCTTGTAAAAAAATCACGTTTTAAATGCCGTTTTYCTGTTTTGCATTCCCTCATAACTTCYACAATTGTTAAGGGCAATGGATGGTTTTATTTATGTGAATAGACAACATTTATGTGAATAGACTAAAGCAAAAATMAAACTAATTTCGAGAMASAAAACGAGGAAAAAATACAGAGCAAATTAAACGAACTGTAACTCTTTCAGTTATTAATTGATTCGATTCGAAACTATTAAAGTAGCAACCCTTAGGTTTGCATGATTAAAAGTTATCTACATCAAGGAAGGGATGCACAAAGAGGAGACCGTCAGCCTGATAATGATAGAGTTATTAAATGTCAGGTGCCATCGGCAGATTTGTGACACGGGCATCGTTTAATGAGAATGTTACATTAAACGTAGATTAAATCAGGCTCAATAGACTCAACGTTCAACTCAAAGAGTTAGTGGTTTCTATAAATTGAAAATACATTCTTGAGGCTTTGCAATAGTCTTGAAATTCAGCGTGCGGCCGAAGGATTTTTGTGCCAAGTTTCGTCCTAATATTGTCCTGAAAAAACGAGCAAAAATTACAAACATTCTGCCAGCTCGTCAATTCGTTTCGGATTTTGTATAAACAGCCCCGCCTTTGGCCGCCGGACTTATTGCAAAAGGGTTCAGCAAGACCAGAGGATAAAGTGCGACAAGAATCAATTTTATGGGACGCGAATGAAGCTTTAATTCYTTCCTGCTAAATTTGTCGGTTTAGAAGAGCGATTGCTTGCCATTTTTTTTATCGGTTTATTCCGCCAGAATTTTATTCTTTGTTACTGTCTATTTYACTTATTTTTATTCYCGTTCTTTTAGTATCTCTTTAAMGTCTGATTCTATTTTTYATTCCAGGTTTTGATAATTCATTGWGACTTTTTGTGCATTAGTTCTAATTGGGTTTTACGTTTTGTCTATTGTGGCGATCATTTATTCASTCGTTTTTTTTTTAGTATCTTCAATGACCTTASTTACTATTGGTTATGTTTGASTCTTRTAAAATCTGTYAATTTCWTTTTTTTTGTTCTTCCRGCAAAGACGGTAAATACATTTTTTTGCAAATTTCTGTTTACAGAACAGAACAAACAGAAGCTTCAAGGAAGAATCAAGCCGAATTTTGCGACGTTCGAACCGATGGATGAATTGTTCCGAATTTAGGTACCTTCTGGAAATTTGCTTGATTTGATCCTTTTTGCACTATTTCATGTGCTCATTATGTGACTTTATTGCTCATTACTCAATAATTCAATGAATGAAGCTTCGGTCAAGGAATTTTTTCAGTCCTGTACGGTTTGGGGGCATGAATTGTTTTTATGAATTTAGGAAAGATTGTGCGATTTGGCCATTCTTACACCGCCTTCCTCCATTGCTCTTTCCTCAATATCTAGACCAGATATTGGGATGCAGACTTCACCGGTAAATGAACAAAGCCTTTATAAATATGCCTTGTGAATTTTGTGCGGGTTTGGCAAATTGCTGATTTTTTTTATAAGTTTAGGAACTTCAGCAATATTTGTGCGATTTGGTCATTGCTGCAAAATCTTCCCTTATTGCTCCTTCTTAAATAAATAGACCAGAGGTTAGGATGCGGGTTTCACCAGTCAATGAGCGAACTTCATTGAAGGAGTTTTGTGAACTTCGCGCTGTTTGGGCAAGTGCATTATTTTTCATGAATTTAAGAACCTTCGAACGATTTTGCAAGGGGATTTTTGCATCAGTCCCTTTATTGCTGTTTCCTCAATATCTAGCTCAGATATTGCGATGGAGACTTCACCATTTAATGAGCGAAGCTTCTGCGGAGACACGTAGCAAATTTCATGCGGTTTGCCACTGAATTATTTTTGGTCAATGTAGGAACCCTCGAAATATTTTCACGCTTCCGCCATCCTTGAATCATATCTTTTATTGCTGCTTCTTCAATATCCAGACCAGATATTTGGATGCGGGCTCTACCAGTACATGAGAAACGCTTCCGCAAAAATATTAGATGAACTTCATGCTGTCGGGACAAAGAAATTATTTATAATGAATGTAAGAACCTTTGAAAGGTTTTTGCAATTGGGCCATTCTTGCATCATCTTCCTTTATTGCGATTTCCTCAATATCTAGACGAGATGTTGGAGAGTGAACTTTACCGGATACTGTGTATCTTTTTATGAATTTAGGAACCTTTTTTTTTCACGATTTAGCTATTCTTACGGTTTTGTTCCTCCTCAATATCCAGACCAGCTGTTGCATGCGTTTTCGACAAGTTAATTATTTTCTGTAACTTTAAGAACCTTCGGAAGATTTTTGCGATTTGGCCACTCTTGCATCACCTTCCTTTAATGGCCTTCACCTTTTATCAGCAGAGCTTTGGTGAAGATACGCTCTGGATTTTATACGGTTTGGACGAGTGAGTTATTTTTTGGAATTTATATACCTTCTGATCTGGCACTACTTCTCCTTGTTGCTCATTCCTCAATATCCAGATCAGATATTCTGATGCGGGATTTAGCACTCAATGAATGAAGTTTCACATGCGGTGGATATTTTGTTTTGTTTGGGCACAAAATTAGTTGGAATGAATTTGGAAATCCTAGAATCATTTGCGGGTTTTGGTCATTTTTGCACTATTTTCTTTGATGGCTAGTATGTCAACATGCAAACCTCATTTCTAATTGAAATGCAAGCCTTAACAACTGATAGCAGAAGCTTTGCTTAAAATGCCTGGTTTCACTGTCTGCGGGCTACCGGTTTATTTGTGATTAAATTAGAAAAATTCCAAATATTTGTGACATTTGCCCATTCGAGCACTGTCTTCTTTTAAAGCTCACTCCTCAACGATATCGATATCCTGACTTGATCGAGGGACACACGGGGCTTCAGTGAAGATCTCCGATAAATTCCCGCTTTATTCACCTTAGTGATTTATTTTTCATCATTTCAGCAGCTGCTGAAAGATTGGCGTGATTTGGCCGTTTTTGCATTGTCTTCCCTCATGGCCCATTCCTCAAAATGCAGTCGAGATACAGCAAATCCCAGAAATAGATAAGTAAAGCAGCACTTAAGACCTCTGATGAATTTGAACTTAATCCGCCGATTGGCTGAATTATAATTAATTAATTACGCCTTGTATAGTACCTCGCCTTGAGAATGCTTTCTGATCATGGTGAGCTCGTGCTGAAAACTTGCCATTAAACCGATCTTCATCAAATATTTACTGGCTCGATTGTAAATCCCATTAACGTCGTTACATGTTTATCTTCCCAGATGCTAATTGACGTTAATTAATTACCGATTCTTTGTCAAACACGTATAAATGCCCGATCATCCCATTATGGAGCCAAGTACTGTCCCATAAGCCTGACTGTTGATAGAGAAAAGCGTCCAAATCAAAATGAAAACCGCATTTGCGGTCGTTCTGCTAGTGGTGGCCATTCAAGCCGTTCTGTCGCAACCTGTGACTGAAGATGGCGAGAAGAAGGTGCAGAAACGTTCGCTCTACACTGAGAAGAGCCTGGGATTGATCGGGAGCGAGAAGATCTCCAAGCGATCAGTTTCGGACAAGGATGATCTGGATGGGGCTGACAGCGGAGTGTATTTTCTACCGTCTTTTGCCCGAAGAGGTAAGCGATCCGTTCAAGAAGCTGATGATATGGAGAGTGCGGCAAGTGGAGTCTATTTCCTGCCGTCCTTTGCTCGAAGAGGCAAACGATCCGTGGATGCAAATGATCTGGATAATGCAGAAAGCGGCGTCTATTTTCTGCCATCATTTGCGCGCCGAGGCAAGCGGTCTGTAGACAATGAAGATCTGGATGGTGCGGAAGGTGGAGTCTACTTCCTGCCGGCATTTGCGCGAAGAGGCAAACGATCAGTGGATGCAGGTGATCTGGATAATGCGGAAAGTGGCGTCTATTTTCTTCCATCTTTCGCCAGGAGGAGACTGAATTAAGGAGAGGAAGCTAACTAATGTGCAACTATGACGACTACGGAGAAGACATAAAGTAACTATTGTTCTTGTATTCTATTTTTCTAAATGGTGTTTGATTTTTTCTGATTTTAATAAAAATACCTTAGCAAGTTTGAGTCAGTTGTCGCCTCCAATTTACAACACACCAGGGTTCGGGGGACTTTTCGCAACCAATTCTTGTGATTGTTTTGTTTCCTGTTTATCGTTGATTTATTGTTATTTAACCTGACGAAATGTTGCTTGTTGCTGTTGAAAATCCTACAGATATTAGCAGCGGATGAATTATCAGCCGCAATTAATAACAATAGAGCCATTTAATTAAAACGCCATTGTTTGTGCAGATAATTTATAATTCCAGTTTATTAGAAGGGTTAATGCTGATCGGGTTCGTTATCTAGTTAATTAGAGACCTTTTCATAAATAATTGCCCACATAAACGTTGACTCGTTACATAACAAATGCGCTTGGCAAGATAAACATTATTAAACGTTGTATGTTAATACATAACACCTGATAAGTTGCGAGCAGCTCCCAATAAACTAATAACGCTTTAATAAACCGGCGTAATCAATTTAATTAACTGTTAACATTTCGTAAAATACACGCTATCGAATTGTTCAAACAGATTAAGCCTGGCTGGTCGGCGTGGTTAAATGTGGAGGGAAGCATGCGTAAATAACGGATTTATCTCCATTGGTCTAATGGAAGGAGGCGGGGAAAGATGCGAGGGTAGGTTTTACGTCCCCACTGAGGGCCCTAAAATATTAGTTCAGTAACTTATTGCCTTCGGGACGAAGGAACTCAATTAGACGGCTCCTTTGGGCTAATCAATATAATTAAGTTCCAGTTTCACAGTCAACAGTTTTGCCAGATATGTCGAATTCGATTCGAGAGCCGAAAACGCGCACTGTGTACAGTATCGATCAGATTTTGGGATTCACTTCCGGCAATGAACATTGTGGTAAGTCTGCTGTACAAATTAAACTTTAAAATATTTATTTGGCACCCTCCTTTGGCAAATTAAACACCCAAGTTTGGATTCATTGCTATGATCCACACTTATTTCTTCCAGTCTTTGTAAATTGTTCTTCTCTGTTTTTCTTTGGATTTTCAATGTCCTTTTCGTTTATTTTGTGTTGACCTTTTGAAGATTTTAGTTTGGAGAGTGTTGACAGCTGTTTCTTCACTATCACTTGAGATCAGATAGTTTTCATCCTTGATGAATTATTAGTCTTATTTGCGGAAACCGCTTCATCAATGCCAGTGGCAATTTCATTCTTCACTCTTATGTTGTTGATTCTCCTGATTTTTCTCGCCCTACATCGTCGTCTTCATTCTGAGCTCTTCCTTCCACCTGGAAAAATCGCACATTTCGCACGATTAAAAAGTGAACATTTCAACAGCAAACTTCCTTACTTTTGAAGATCAAACCATCAACGTTTGGATTGGATTTGAATTTGACTAGCAAATGGATTTTTACAGCATTTTGTTCTGGTGCTTCTCAAGCTTTCAAATTAAAGTGAAAATCCCTTTTTGGTCACTTTAATTTCAGCTTTTGTAGCTAAGGTGTCGTTTCTTTACCATCAGTTCAAACCAGATCGTTTTCAAACAGAATCAATTTCAGAGCTTCTTGAGAAAGCTTCTGTGTCTTCAATTCTTCTTCGGATTTTCGATTGCTCATTCAACATCTTCAGTCGGTAGATATTGAAGCATGTTCTTCTTGCGGTTGCTCTTGTTTAGCGAAAATGTACTACTAATATCCTCTCTTCTGGCTCTTCCTGCGCCCAAACAGAACTTTGTACTTCAAAAAAATGGCTCAGAGAAAAGTGCACATTTACATGTATTTCTTCAATCTAAAACAGCAATCCATCTTCATTTGAAGATTTAAGCTTCAAAGTTTGGATTAGATTTAGATAGCAGAAGCTTTGCTATGTTCCAAGCTTTTCAGTCGAGCTAGTGCCTTTCAAATCACTTTCTTACGATTCTTCTCAACCTCGCAAATTAAAGGGAAAATCACTTTATTACCACTTTAATTTCAGCTTTTGAAGCTAAAAGTTTGTAGAGTCTCAGGCCGTGTTCCTTCACTATCACTTCAATCCAGGTCATTTCCTACCTGAATGAATTGCTTCACTTTTCTTGGGAAACTGCTGCTGCTTCATCAATGTCCAAATTTTCATGTTACTCTTTACATGCTGTTGATTCTTCTGATTTGCTTTCCTTTATTCAACATCTTCAGTCGGTAGATATTGAAACCAGTTCTTGCTGTTGTTGCAGTTTAACGGAAATCTTCATTTGTGGCTCTACCCACAACCAGAGCGAACCTTCTTCAAAAACTAGCTGTTTTTTATTTCAACAATTAGTCACTTTCCTTTTGAAGAGTAAAACATAGAAGTCACGTTCAAGGCATCTTTCCTCTAGTGGTTTTCGTAGCATTTTCTTCTGGTTCTTCGCAAGCGCTCAAACAAATTCTTGGTAGGTATCTCTAGGAATTATCTTCATTTTCGGCTCTTCCATCAACCAATATTTTCGTTTTTTCATTTTTATTTCTTCAATTCTCACTTCAATTTGACTTTCTGGGTTGGGAAAGGGTTGGCAGTTTTTGATTCACAATTTTTTGAAAGATTTCTGATTTTCGGTAAAACTGCTGCTTCTTCACCAAAGAGTTCGTCACTCTTCCGTGTTATGCTGTTGATTCTTCTGACTTTCTGTCAACACTTTCAGTTGCTAGAACTAGAAACAATATCTTAGTGGCTGTTTACTAAGAATTTACTTCAGAATTTAGCGAAATGGCTGTTCTTTTTTAACAAAAATCGTTTTGTTTCCTTATTATAAGACTATAGTACTGTTGGGTTTATCTGGATGTATCTTTGACCAATCCTCAAAAATCACTCTAAAATCCCATTAAAACCTACATAATTGGATGCAAAAAACTCATACATTTCCCAACTGGATTTCCGGTTCAAAGAATCAAACTTCCATTTTTGACCCGCTGTTTCTCTGGAGGATCCTGAAACTGAATTCAGCTCACATGAAAAATGAATAATACAATGGAGATTTAAGCGGCTTAATGTTCCGGCCATTTTCATACCTGACTAACTAGTTTCTGCCCTCTGTTTTGTATCTTTTGTTCAATTTGATTAAAATATGCTATGAAATTTTGGTTTTAAATGCATTCAGGCAGCAGTGCTGAAGACGGGAAGCACACCATTAGTAACTCGAATGAGAGTTCGGAAGATATGGAAGAGCCAAGGCCTAGAAAAGTGCGCCGATCTAGAACAACTTTCACCACCTACCAGCTGCATATTTTGGAATCGGCATTCGAGAAGACTCAGTATCCAGATGTGTTCACCAGAGAGGAACTTGCTATGAGGCTGGATCTAACAGAGGCCAGAGTCCAAGTGAGTGATTTATATCGGCACTCACTATTATTCACTATAATCTGCAGGTCGCGCCGGATTCAAGTGGTTTTTCATACGGCCACTTCTGACCCCCCTTTTCCGCCAAGCCCTTCTGAATCGCAATCCAGTCCATTTGAAAAAGACTTTTAATGCAGCGCCCCAACAATAAAATAATTATAATCGGCTTAATTTTCAAATTATGCCCATTTCAACTACTCGCAATTACTTTCATTATTTCCAATTAATTCATGTATGAATAAAGCTGCTACTGGCGATTTTATGTCATTTTCACTATTAAAATTCGTTCGTTTGATGTAAATGCTTTACTAATTAATTGAAAATCGCCAATTCTCTGAAGCTTAAATCCTCTATAAATTAATGAGCCGCTCCTAATGGATAGAGATTTATAGCTATTTTCCTTAAATACCCGATACTGTAGCTTTATGTAGTTTTTGAACCTTCAAGCGAATAAACAAATAGATGTGAAACTAACTTTTGATTTCAATTTTATAATTCGGTCTAAAAATTTCAACTTTAATTGAAAAATTAATGGAGTTGATTAATTCGATCAAAACTTCTCAAAATTCTTCAATCTTTCTTCAAAATTTTTGCAGGTTTTGGTTCTGTAAATCTGTGTCGTCTGCTTAAGTTGAATAATTCAATTAAAATTCACCAAATTAGTTATTTAATCCATATGAAGTTAAGACTAAAAGCTGCAAGTTTCTACTCCTGCGTTTATTGAGTAATAAGACTTTTAAAATGAATACAGGTAGGTTTTATCCAAGTTTTGACTGGGTTTTGGAAAATCCTACAGTCAGTTTCAGCCGGGTTTTTTTCATAAGACTTTTGTAGTCTATTGTTTAAAATGTGGCAAATTTCGTCTAAAAATTGCACGTTTCTACCTGTTCCTGTCGAGAAATAGCGAATATTTGAAACAACGCCACTTGTAATTTTCGATAGCAAAAGAGTTGAAAAATGGCAAATTTTTGAAATGTTCGACAGAAAACTCCAACGTTACAAGTTTCTGCTGTCTATTAAGGTTGACCAATTCGATTGAATCCTTCTTGAGTTATTCTCAAGATTATCTGGAATTAAGCCCCAAATGTACAAGTTTATGCTTGCTTCAGTTGAGAAATTTTGAATTTTTAGCATTCGCGCTGGTTGCACTTTTCGATCGTAAACTGTATATTGAAATGCCTCCGATTTTATAAATTCCAGCTGTTTATTAAGCTAATTAGTTTTTTTGAAACTGTCGGTTAAGTGAAAAGTCGATTAATTCTATTGAAATTTTCATAATTCGTTTTTTGTGCTGCGTTGAAAATTACCAGTTTGTGCATGCTTCTGTGGAAATGATATGGATGTTTAAAACGACGTCGGTTGTACTTTCTATCAGCATTATTTGAGTTTGTACATTTGTGCAGCCTCCTGTAGCCGGTAAATTCAAGGAAAACTTCATGAATTTGATGCTTAATTTGCACCAAATCGGCTTTAAAAATTGCTAAATGTTTGTACCTGCAGGAAGAGAGAACTCTTGATTTTTCCTAATTGTGTTTGTTGCCGCTGTCTGCTGCAAAACCAGCTGTTAGCTATCTGCAATGTTGCAAATTTTTCCTGTTCCTTTAAGCAGATTAATTCTAATGGATCTTTGGTACAAACGTTTGTAAAAGTAGCCTAAAAATGCAAGTTTGTGCGTGCTTCTGCTCAGAAACTATGAATTTTCGTAAACACTTCCTGATGTCGGTTGAATCAAGTGAAACTTCCTGTAACAGACCTGAACTTGTTGCCTGCTGTCTACCAAATCGCTGCTAAAAATTGCAAGTTTGTACCAGCTATCTGCAATTTTGCAAATTTTTGCTGTCCCTTTAACTTATCGGTTAATAAAACTGGAATTTTCACATTTAAAAAAGGTCATCAACATTTTTTCAGAGTAACGTTTTAATACTTTGTTCAAACAACTAAAAAAAGTCATCTAGATTTTCCCGGCAACCGAACTGAGTCCAGAGAAATTCGACTTTTACGTCTTTCCGAGTCTTTTACGAGTTTTCTTCTAAAATTTTTTCTTGTAAAAGATTCAGTTTGCCAGTATTTTACAGTAAAACGTTAGGAAAATGCGGGTTTTCTGTTTAGAGACAGTGTTGTTTGGAAATATTGACCTAAAAGTGAAAAAGCCCCAGTTTCCAAGAGTTTTCCAAATACTTAAATGATTATAAACTGTCGCTTTTTCAGCTCGGGAAAATATTTTTGGAAAAACACCCATAATTAATTATTAGGGTTTCGCCCATAATTCGKAGCTGCAAAAAGTTKGGTTAAGGAGGCGAGTGTTCCAATAMAAWTTATTTGTAAAACTAAAAAATAATGAAGATTTTGCATAGAAAGAATTGCTGAATAGAAACTTTGTTAAGRCTGGAATGACCTAAACTTTTTTTATTTTTTATTTTATTTAAATTTAAAGAAACTTWWAAAATCTTCAGAGCGATGAGGGCGGCGAGTTTTCCAAACAGTTTTTTGAAAACTTTTGCTATCTGGTCGATTTTTCAAGATAATCCTAATTACTCTCGGTAAAAAACKGAATAAAATTATTTGGTTTTTGTKCCAAATTYGAAGCTCAAATGGGTTTTCTAAAGTTYCCTGCAAASCGATGAATGAGGCGAATTTTCTAGCAAAATRAATTTTGTAATTTTTGSCTGAAAAKRCCCCATTATTGYCAGAAAAKAAGGAACATMWWAAAAAAATGTTTTTTTGCCKTTTCGATTTARAACTTTTAGTTTTGTGATCGTTTTTGRARAAAASSTGGTTYTCGAAAAAAAAATTGTTCTCGTTTTTTTCGACGCTGAAAAAAGTTTTTGTAAAATATTTGCAAAGCTATAAATATATTTTGAAATCTTTTGCGTAAAAGCCCTCCAGATCGTCAGTATTTTTAAGTAAATCTCTACAAAATAGGACGTTTTTAGKSCMGAAMGACCGATTGGGTCGATAGCCTTTTTCTGTAGGAAATAAAGATTATTTATATATATATAGRACGTTTTTGAGTAGAAAGTRAAGCAMACAAATTCAGCCRAAACTAAAAAAMCACATTTTTTTAACAAGCTCWACAGTCTTCAGWGGTATGGAGGTGCCGAGATTTCCAAATAATCTGTTCTAAACTTTCGCTTATTCGGTTCGTTTTTCGATAGCAAATTATTTGATTTTTGTTCCAAGTTCTGAGCTGGAAAGGGATTTCAAAACTCTTTACAARRCGACGAAGGRTTCGAAATTTATTTCATAATTTTTCGAGGAAAACACCTTAAGATTTTCGGMATTTTTAAGTTTCACTTAAAAAAATTGAACATTTAGAGTAACTGGCCTAAAACCGGAAAATCAAWCTGAAATGTTGATGACTTTTTTCAAATTTTACAAACACTAATATGAAATGGTCCTTAAAATAAATYTAAAAACAAGTAAAAAAAGTCATCAACATTTTCCCAGCAACGGAATTGAGCTACTGCGCCAGTGCGTTTGTTTGGCGCACCAAGCCATTTGCRCCAACTCCTAAAAATTAAATGAGTTACCGAGGCCTACTTTAAGTAGATTAATTCTATGGAAACTTTCGGATTTTGTGGTGCAAACGTTACCAAAAGAAGCATGAAAATTGCAAGTTTGTGCGCGCTTCTGTTGAGTAACTATGAATCTAGGCAATCTAAGTTGCTCAACTCTGTTGAACATCTTTCGAGTTCGTCTACACCTGTTCCTTGTAATAAATGACGAATAGTCCAAAAGAAGTTGACTTTATTAAGGCGACATAATATTATGAGCTGTGAGCGCCAGTCCAGAATGAAGTTAAGTTCACGCTTCTTAGTTTGATTCTTGCAAAGGCATATTATATTCTATGCGATTCTGTTACTGAAGGTGTAACTGTGACTTGATTAGATCGCCCCAGCAGAAAGGATGTAGACGAATTGCATTCCGCACAACTAGACACAATTAGAGCATTAAAACCGTTCCATAAGTAAAATATTGGAATATTCTTTGTGTGAAGCATTCAGCCGGTCTTAAATCGGCGCTGAAAAGGCAATTATGAAAAGAGACAGCCCTCCATCATTATATACGTAGCAGGGAGGCACTTTAAATGAGACATCAGAGAAAATCTAGTGCCGGATCCAGTTCCGATTACCTCCATTGTGGCGAACAATGGGCAATTGCGCTCCCACTTCAACAGCTACAAGGCAGATTAATTATCTAAATTGTTACCAATTAAGTTCGAGTTAATGTCCATCATTAGTCGGGTATTACCGAATAAAACGCCTAATCACATAAGACTATTAAATGCGAATTTTCGAGATGGCATGGCGAAAAGGGCATTAAGTGATATTACCAGCTTCAGCTTCAAACGGGCTTTTTAAATCGGGGCCTGTGTGTGTGTGTGTATGAAAATCGATATTGCCAGTTAATTGCATTTTACTCTTTGCTTCTATGATTCGTTAAGACCCAAAGGGTCGCCATCGAAGTTGCTCTTTTATTACTGCCCTCATCCTGCGGTTTCTATGCAATAAACCACTGTTCTTTGCAGTTTTTTCTACTTTGAAGCAATTCTTCGCTTTTAGTCATTCAGGCACTTTTCTCTATTGTTCTTTTCACTCGTTGCTTTTCTGTCTGGGAAAATTGCAAATAAATCCAGTTTTCCCATATCAATAACAAGTCTCAATAAGACTAAATTAAGCTCACCATTCACGAATGATTCTCCCGGCTTGTTACCAATATTCCTCAACTGTACAAACCGAGTGCGACAAAGGACTTCGTCGTTGCCTACATAAGGACGCCTGAACTCTTGTGATATTTTTATACCTGCTTGTATATTTCGAGCAGTGGATCCCTCACATAGTACAGAATTTTATTTGTTGGAAATCAGACATCAAAAGTAAAATCGACATTTAAATTGCTTTCAAGAGATCGCTTAAAGCCGATTCAGTAATAAATAGTATATTTAAGGGAAGCACGTTGTTCGATACGCATCGGACGAACGGAATCAGCATTTGCCATCTCTTAAATGAGATAACGATGCCACTTTGAGAAAATTTACCTCTTTAGAGCAGATAAACAGATAAACTTGAACAATTCAGGTTCAGTTGCCATCATCTGAAGCACCAACTGGTAAGATGATCAACAGAATTGACAAAACTCAGATCGCCTTAATTCAACTGCGTTGCCCGTTGAGACAAAGCGATCAGAAAAGACCGCAATTGCTTACAGCAGGTGCAAACTTGCAATTTTCAGCACGGATTTGGTAGGCAGCAGGCAACAAGCTCAGCAAGTTTCACTTGAAAGGACTCGATTTCAGCAGTCTGCAGAAATACATCTAGAACAGGACGACAACCGCCTTTAGACAAATTCGTAGTTTCTCAACAGAAGCATGCACAAACTTGCAAATTTCCAGTTGAGTTTAGCATCGCTCCGGCAACAAATGCGCAAATATTTAATATCGTCAACCTAAAGGGAAAGGAGAATTTTGCAAATTTGCAGTGCAGTTGGTTTTGCAGCCGATTCCGGCGACAAGCATATATTTAAAAAATTATTATTTTTCTCGTCGTGCAGGTACAAACTTGCAATTTTCAGAGTCGATTTCGCACATACTAAGCAACAAATTCTGGAAGCTTCACTTGAATTAACGGACTTTAGCAAACTGCGGAAAAGAGCAAAGTCAAAGATTGCTGATACGACAAGCGTCCGTTAAAAATTTCGAAGCCTATCCACAGAAACATGCACAAACAAGTAATTTGCACTTTCTACTGCAAACTGAATATTAAAAATTTAAGAAAATTAACGGACTTAAACAGAAGAAGGTAGAAATTAAGGCACTAACTTGCAATTTTCAGAGTCGATTTCGCACATACTAAGCAACACATTCTGGAAGCTTCACTTGAATTAACGGACTTCAGCAAAGTGCAGAAAAGAACAAAGTCAAAGATTGCACAGTAGAAATTAACACATTCGAATGCATCAGGCGAAAAGTACGATGAGTTTACGTTCAAAACTTCGCTATTTCTCAACAGAGGCATGCACCAACTTGTAATTTGTAGGTTMAATTTGTCACATTTTGCGTGGCAAATTCAGAAAGTTTCAATAGAATGAATGAGCTTTAAAAGAACAACTGGAATTTATCAAATCCCAGACGTTTTGAGCAAGGAACGACTAACGCGATTTCAAAAATTCGTCGTTTCTCAACCGAAGCAGGCACCAACTGCTAATTTTCAGGATTAGTTTTTCACGCATTAAGCAGCAAGTTCTGGGCCTCCCAATGTAATTAAGCAACTTAAGCAACTAGCAAAAATTTACAAAATTGCTGTTAGCGGGCGGAAGTACGGTAAACCCCAATTCAAAAATTCGCACTGTCTAAACCCTTAAAACTTGTAAACTTGTTAAAGCAGGCACAAACTTGTTGTTTATCTGACTTAAATCACCAGCATTTTGGCTGTGACATTAGAAATTCATTCATTCAATTGAATTGATTAACTTTTGTAGTTAGCAGAAAGTTTAAAAGACGGAATTTGTGCGCAAAAAGTACAACAATCGCCATTCCAAAAACAAAAAATTTCTGAACATGCAGGCACTAACTTGTGATTGTTAGACTGAAATTAGTATATACGGGAGAATAATTCTGGAAAGTTTCAACAGAAGTGCTCAATTCTAATAGTCAGCAGAAACTCATAAATGCAAAGTTCGCGAGAGAACTTTAAAAAAAAATCCCATTTCTCAACTCTAGCACGTATCAACTTGTAATTTAGCCGTAAATGAGCACAAGCAGCGCAGCAACTCGAAGAAGTAGGTATCACTCAATGTGATTAACTGTAGTAGAAACACAAGCTGACAAAGTCAACGTTTGCTTTAAAAAGGTGCAAAAGCGCTAATTGAAATCCTGGTAGCTTCTCAGCAGTAGCAAGTAGAAACTTGGAACTTTCAGGTTAAATTTCGGCCAGTTTTGGTCAAAAGTTTTAAAGAAAACTTAAAAAAAGCTGCCAGTAACGGACTGTAGAATTTCCCATTTTTTTTTCAAATCCCAATCAAAGCTCCTGATGAAACCTATTATTCAGCAACCGTAAGCAGGAACTTGCAGTTTCAGACTTATTGCATAGTAATTGAAGCAACTAATTTGGCGTTAATCAATTGAAATATACAACTAAAGCAAACAGAGGAAATTCGAGAAGTCAAAGTTGGCTATCAAAAATTTAACATTAAAAAAATTATTCCAAATCAAAATCAATTCCTGGGCTTCAGTCATTTATTGTCTATTTATCAATTAAAATACGTTTCGGTGTTTTCCACGTGTGGTTCCAGTATTTTCAGTATTTAATATATTTAGAGTAATACTCCAAATATATGCCAAGACTTAAAGTAGCAACAACGCTACACATAGAAACTGATGATGGTGGAAAACACCGAAACGTATTTTAAATGATAAATAGACAATAAATGACTGAAGCCCAGGAATTGATTTTGATTTGGAATTGAAACACAGTCAGGAAAGTATGTACAATAAAAAAATAATTTCTTTCGAATAGACATTTCTCAACGAAAACAGACACAAAACTTGCAATTTTCTGGCGTGGTTTAACGCAGTACACGCAACAAACTGGAAAAGTCTCAATTTAATTAATTATGCGACAGATTATTTAAAATATGCCAAATACTCATTTTTATTCGTTTCGTTCGTCCGAAGCAAAAAATGCGCACATTGATTTCCTCAACTCTTCTGATAACGTACAGAGTGGTTCTTAAATTTGTCGTTTTCGGACTCAAAATCGTCAACCCGGTTTAATGAAACTTGGACATTTTTCAGGTTTGGTTCCAAAATCGCCGAGCCAAATGGCGCAAACGGGAGAAATCTCTGGGCCGTGAAACCAACACGTTAATCCACAGCGATCAGCAAAACTTGGCAGACTATCAAATGCACATGATCCCGTCGATCAACGAGTCGTTTTGGCCACGAACCCAAATCCCTCCCGTCTATGGGACACCGTCGATCGGCTTCCCATGGCCAGGGAACCAACTTGGGGTTCCAAACATCCAGGCCTTCCTGATGACCAGATTCGCGTTAGCGGAAAGCGTGGCTAAATTCGGCGGTTGGAGCGAGAAGCTGAAGAATCCACCCGATACGAATTCGGGCGGTTCCAGCCCACCACCTCCTCCATAGTTGAAAAGTGAGGAATCTTGCAGATGCTTTGCTAACCGGTTTTGGTAGGTCGTTTTCAAATCCTTCCAACTTGAGCAGCAGGAGAGGACTTTTTGGAGCACGTGGAATTTCCTGCTGTGTATTATTTCACTGTTAATCAACTTTGTTCGATTTTGTAGATATCTGCGTATATTTCCGTTAGTTAACTAGTGTAGGTTTTACCTTGACTTTGTAAATCTGAATGTTGGACGACTGGAAAATAAATATATTTTTTATTAGCTTATTATTTGTATGTTTCACTTGCTTGCCAATCACGGGCAACCTTTGCCGGAATATGGATCTATTCGCTATCCAGTAATACAAAAACCAAGGCTGTAGCTCGAATCGTTTTTGGGATATGAGGTGTGAGCGAAGGCCTAAACCTGCTAAAACCGCTCAAAGCCAAAGTGTTGAAATCTCGATTTAAGTGAGAAAAATGCCGATATTTTCCTAGCGATTTTAGTTGCGAAATGTCTGAGTTAATTCCCCAGCCAGGGGTGTAGAAATGAGTGCGCGAGCTCAATTCGTTCCAGAACTATAAGCCCTTATATACCCTTATTTGGTGCTCGCATGTGGGATATTCAAATCCCATTTTGGGTGGCTTCTTATGCAAAAACCACAGCAATTTGCAATTTCAAGTTTTACTTCTTTAATGGGGGTTTGAATTCTCTATTCAGCGTTGGAAAAACAAACCCTGTAGCTCATCCGGGTGTTGAGATATGGTGAAAAGTTGGTGCTGTTGTTGACGCAACAATTTTCACATTTTGGCAAAGTGCTTCATCGTCTTTTGAGCTTTATCTTCTGCAACAACACACAAACCCAAARCACACCAACCTGTTCTTTGGGACTAAAAGAGCTGAAAAGAAGCAGTCAGGAAGCAAATGAAATAATAACAAATTTATRAAGAGTTTAAAATAAATAGTAGTAGTAAAACAATTCGTCCAGAGAATTGTAGCTCATCCGGGTGTTGAGTTATGGTGAAAAGTTGGTGCTGTTGTTGACGCAACAATTTTCACATTTTGGCAAAGTGCTTCATTGTCTTTTGAGCTTTATCTTCTGCAACAACACACAAACCCAAAACACACCAACCTGTTCTTTGGGACTAAAAGAGCTGAAAAGAAGCAGTCAGGAAACAAATGAAATAATAACAAATTTATAAAGAGTTTAAAATAAATAGTAGTAGTAAAACAATTCGTCCAGAGAATTGTGGCTGAGAAAGAGAGCAGAAATCGGAGAAGGGACGTGTAGAAAATGTGCGATTAGATTTTTAATTTTGTGAGAACGCAATAAACGTCGAGTTGTAATATTAAAGTTCCGCAAATTAATTTGTCGAATTTCAGCGGTAGAAGCGAGGTTTATTAAGGACCAGTGAGTGAGTGCCGATCTAAGTAAGTGTTGATCTTGTCCGATACGAATGAATCAGAAACCAATATCCGAGGGTGGATATGAATACGGATGAAAGAACCCCAAAGCGCAAGGGGGCGCAGTGTCGCATTCAATCGACGTTCATATGGTAATCGCCTGAAGAAATCCGTGCACAATGGCATTAGACCCAACTTATTACGTTTACATTGATCTCGAGGTTTATATTTTTTTGTCGGTTGTTTGTCTTTATATTTAGTTTTGCACGAGAGATTAGAGAACTTTGAAACGTTATTTGAAACGTATTGTCAATAGGACGGATTGCTATTTTTGCCATTAAATTAAATCGCTGCTATCGCTGCTGGTTTTCATTAACTGCGCCCTTTTTGCTGCCGTTGACTAAATGATGACACGCCTTCAATTGTTTACCAGTTTATTAACGAGAATCGTTAATTTATTTTAGAGCATTTTGCGTATTTGCAGTTTCGTTGCCACTGTTTAGAGCTACAGTTCTAAATAGTTTTAAGGGTTTAGAGGTTCAAGGTTTAAAAAACACCAACAGTGTTGGAAAATATTTTCCCTGAATTCGAATGCTTGAGGCAACGCAAGAAGGAAAGTGGTTTCGTTGTCGCTCTTCTCCGAAGTGCAACTGAAAGAATCAATAAAAAGTGATAATTTCACAAAACTTTCTTTTCTTGATAATTGCCTAAATTGGTATCTCTTAGGATCGATACCAGTGAACTTTGCCTACAAATCGGGAAAAGTTCAAGGTACAGTAGCGCTCTTGCAAGAATCACTCAAATTTGAGAAATTTTCCAATTCGAAACTCTTGAAGTTTATACAACTGATTTTTTCTACCAAGCACAGAACGATGTGAAATTTGAGCTTTCTTGATTTAAACGTTATCAACTGCAGGATACAAAGTCGTACAAGAGCGCTTTTGAAAAAAGCAGTCAACTTTAAAAATTTGTAAAACATGATGTATGTGTAAAACATGATGTAAAACTTTGCTGAAGATGGTCAAAATTCGAAACTTTGCATGATTCAAGTGTTCACTCTCTAAAGTGCGTAAATTTGGAAGCTTCGAGCTCATTTGGTTCAAAAGTTATCTACTGCGGAAGCCGGACTTGTTAAAACTGCCCTTGAAAAATTAATTGTCCTCGAAAATTCCTTGATGAAGGCAGGAATTTGAGATTTTCACCATCAATACATATRCCTTCAGTCTACCAAGTTTAGGACTAGAAGAATTGCACACTCTATTGGTTCGTTATTTATTATATACTTAGTTATATACTAAGTTATTAACCATCGAAGACAGACTTGTACAGTAGCGCTGTTGCAAAAATCAATCAAATTTGAAAATGTCTAAAGAATTGCCTGATGATGGAATGAATTCGAAACTTTTAGCATTCACCAAAAGACGTTATTGTAAATACTTCAGAAAAATATAAATTTTTAACCTTCGGTTTCAAAGTCATCAAACGCGAAAGTCAGGAATGCACAAAAACGCGCGTGAAAGCATCAATAAAATTTAAATTTTTTTGAATAATTCGTTGATGATGGCTCAAATATTTAGYTTCTGGTTTAGACTTACAGCATTACCTTATAAATTGGCCGAATTACCCTATCAATTGCGGAAGACTGACCGATAAAATTCAGAYCTTAAAAAAAATTGTTCTATYATGAAAATTTGTCCAAAATTCCGAGAGAGCAAGCAAAGACGAGCAATCTTGCAWAAATCAATCAAATTTAAAAATTTCTCAATAATTGCTTGATGATGAGACGAATTCGAAACGTTTGGTATTCATGTAAATGCTCATAGGCCTATCTGGTTCAGAAAACCATACATTTCTAGCTCAATCGGTTTCCAAGCCATTAAATGAGAAATTCGAGATTTTAAAAAAGCATGCGTGAAAGATTCAATGATTTTTGAAAAATTTTAAATAATTTGTTGATGATGTCTCAAAATTAAACTTCTGGCTTAGATTTAGGCAGCATTACTCTATAAATTGGATAAACATCGAAGCTTTCCGCTCGTTTGTTTCAAAATATACCAATTGGGGAAGATTGACCTGTAAAATTCAGCTCTTAAAAAAATCGTTCTATTTTGAAAATTTGTCCAAAATTCCTTGAGCAAAAATTCGGAATTTTCCATAGTAATAACAATGACTTCACGCTATAAAGATCCGGAATTGTATCCTCTATTGGTTCAAAAGTTATCAACTGCCATAGATGAGCAATCTTGCAAAAATCTATCAAATTTAAAGATTTCTCAATAATTGCTTGATGATGAGATGAATTCGAAACGCTTGGTATTCATGTAAAAGACGTATAGATCTATATGGCTCAGAAAACGAGACATTTTTAGCTCAATCGGTTTCCAAGCCATCAAATGAGAAATTCGAGATTTTAAAACAGCATGCGTGAAAGAATCAATGATTTTTCAAAAATTTTGAATAATTTGTTGATGATGTTCCAAAATTTAAACTTCTGGCTTAGATTTAGGCAGCATTACTCTATAAATTGGATAAACATCGAAGCTTTCCGCTCGTTTGGTTCCAAATATATCAATTGGGAAAATTGATCTGTAAAATTTAGCTCTTGCAAAAAATCGGGCTATTTTGAAAATTTGTCCAAAATTCCTTGAAGGTGGGAGAAATTCGAAACTTTCAATATTAATAATAATGACTTTACACTATAAGGTATAACCTGTAAGAATACATAAATTCTATCCTCTATTGGTTCAACAATTATCAACTGCCGAAGACTAACTTGTACAGAAGCGCTCTTGCAAAAATCAATCAAATTTGAAACTCTCTCAAAAATTGCTTGATGATGAGATGAATTCGAAACGTCTGATATTCATGTGAAAGTCTTAAGTCTATCTAGTTCACAAAACGATACATTTTTCGCTCAATCGGATTCTAAACCATCAAATGAGAAATTCGGTATCGTTCAAAATCGCGCTTGAAAAAATTAATCAATTTCTGAAATTATGGTTTAACTTTAACACTTATGGCATTGATCTCAGTGGAGTTACTCCATGAGGTGCAAAAATACGGAAGCTTTCAACTCTTTTAGTACAAAAGTTATCAGCTACAGCTGACGGGCTTGGGAAATGCTGGTCTACAAAAAATCAAGCAATTTAGAAAATGTGTCTTAAATTTCGTGAATTCGACGCAAATTTGAAATTTTATTAGTTAATAACAAGGACTATAGGCTAGAAAGTTCAAGAATACACAAGTTGTGCGTGCTATTGGTTCCAAAGATATCAGCGGCGGAAAACTAACTTGTAGAATCGCGCACTGACAAGAATCAAGCAACTTTCAGAGTTTCTCAAGAATTACTTGATAAGGGCGGTGAATCTAAACTCTCACCACGTGCCCAGGGAGCTTCATTCTACAAATAACAAAAAAAAATAAATTTTTAAATCTCTCCTTTTCGAAGTTATCAAATGCGGAAATCGATGTTGTAATAATAGGACGCTTGAAGGAATCAATGAATTTTGAAAACTTTTGTACACGCGTTGATGAAGGCTCAAATTCGGAATTTCTGGTTTGGATTCAATCGGTTTTCTCTACAAAGAGCATCAAAATCGAGGCATTGAATTCTTTTATTTGAGAATAAATCAATGGCGGAAGACAAATTTGTCCAATAGCGCTCTTGCATGAGTCAATCAACGATCGAAATTGGTAAAAAATTCCTTGATGATGGGGTTAAATCGAAACTTTCAAAATTTACACAAGTGATTTTATTCTACAAAACGGTTGTTTAAAATCTCTTCTAAGGCACTCTAACTGTTAAATGAATACACAAAAATCCTTGATAAAAACCCCCCTTTTTCGTGTACACTCAAAGCGTATTTTCCAGAGATTGTTCCGAAATCCGTTATTATCTTCCAGTTCAATAAAAAAAAATAAGGGCGATAAAAACAACCACCGCCCTCTATGTAGGATCTGTGCTCATTTATCAAAATCGACTCGGAAAAGATCGATTCTGAGTCGATCAATTGCCTTAAAGTGAGACGCGGCTTGCCTACAAACGCCTAGATGGCTCTTCCTGACATCTGTGCTCTGTTTTAGACAACTGTTGTCTATGCGTCTCAGAAAACTGATATTCTGAGATTCTGAGAAATTATGAGCAACTGAGAATTTGTTTTCGAATTTGGTACTAAAACAGTTCCAGATCCAGAATCCATATTAAAATTAACACAAAAATCCAACCCAATTCCTGGCTTGATAAAGTGAAAAAAACCCAATCAAGCCTTTTTTAATGAATCAATTTTGTAGGAAAAACACCGGTTCATCAATCTATCAAATCCAGTCCTCTGATTGCATCGATTAAGAAGGGAAAAACAAAAGAAACCTATATTAAGGTCCTCAAGTAGCCCATCTTACGGTTGGTGAACTTGGAATCAATTTGTGCAAGTAACACGATTGATTCCCTACAACAAACATATATTAGCATTTTATTGCTTTAGCCAGTCTTTAAACACCCTCTAGATAAAATGAAATTAAAACTGAAGGACCCTTTGATCTCGCTCTGTTATTGACTAAACTTGATTATTGCCAGTATTAATTGGCAGGTTAACCATTTTTCGGCCTCGCAAATCGCTTCAGTGAGGTGAAATTTCAACTTTATTGGATAGACCGAATGCTCTAATTTACTCTTTTATACCGCTTATTTTATGGCATTTTTTCCATTTGACATTCAACATTTTTGGTACACGTAGCATGTTTTAGTGTCTGGTTTAGGATTTTTAACACAGTTTTATATTTATTAGTATTTTATTTTAGTACTTGCAAATTTCTGTTTTTTTTCGTTTCGAACGCAGCTTTTTAGCAAATTCTCTTGCTTCTTGAGCTTGGCGAATGAGCCTTTTGGTCGACTGGAATTTCTAGTTATTTTTTTTGATTTCTGGTTTCAGTTTAATCGTTATTACGCCAAATATCCCCATGACCAAGATTTTTAAGAGAAATATTCGAGTTTGTGCAACTTTCTCCAGACAAAGCAAACCTGTTTTCGGTAGTTGATTAGTCAAAAAGCGGCGAAAATGGAAACTTATGACTTCAAGCAAACTGTAGATGGCGACAGTTTCTTTCAATTTTTCCAAGAGTTTCGAATTTGGGCAATGCAAGAGATTTTGGAGGCACTTTTCCAACAGCAGATTTGTACAGGTTCGACCTCCTCTTCCGCATCTAATAGCTTTCGAACAAAAGGAGGCTAAAAACTTGAGCTTTCTTGCATTGTGTAGAGGAACATCATCTTTATGAATTCCACAATTTTTGGACTTGCGCCATCATCAAAGGAATTTTTGACAATTTTTTAAAGTCAAATGAGGTTTTAAAAGTCTTTTACAAATCCGGCCTCAGTTGATAGCTTTCGAAGCAGCAACGATAATGCACATTGTAGAGTAAAACCCTCTAAATCAAAGCAAGAAGTTTCGAGCATTTGAGCCATCTTGAACAGATTTTTCAAACATTTTCAAAGGTGATTGATTCATTCAAGCGCGCTTTTTTACAATCCCGTTTTTCGCACTTAATGACTTTGAAACCGATGGAGCTAAAATCAATCATTTTGCACAGTTTCTACATTAAATTCAATCGTGCGAATGCCGAATTAATGCCATTATCAAGCAATTTTTCAGAAATTATCGAAGTTGCTTGACCATTTGAAGCGCGCTATTGTACAGCATTTAAAACGGGTGGAGCTAAAAACTTTGTTTTCTGCAATTTATCGAATAAGGGCACTTGTGCAAGGGTCGATAAATTCGAATGAATGCCTTAATCAAGACATTTTTTTGAAATTTTCAAGTTTGATTGTCTCGTCCAAGTGCGCATGACGCAAGTTTCCAATTAACGCTGCCGTCCAGGAATATTTAAGAAATTTTCAAAATTTATTGATTGTGCCAAGAGTGCCATTGTACGAGTTTGTTTTCTGCAGTTGAATTTTTTTGAATCTATTGAATACCAGCTTTGGCCATTCTCGCCCTTTGTTAAGAAAAATAATCCCCATTAACGTTAAAAGTTTCAAATTTATGCCGTACTTAGGAAATTATTGTGAATCTTTGAAAGTTGATTGATGCTTCCAAGCGCGCGATTGAACAATCTCGATTCCGCAGTTGCTAACTTTCAACCGGACTGCGATAAAAACTCATGTTGTGCTGCACTTTTTAGACGAAATTCACTTTTACAAATGCCGAAAGTTTCGGATTGATTGCCATTATAAACAAATTTTTCAGAAATTTTCAAAGTTGTTTGATTATGGGGCGCAATTAGTTATAAGTTTGCACTTGATAATTTTTAAACGGTGGAGCTAAAAAACTTATATCGTCGTTCACTTTTCACATGTTCGAGTGTCGAAGGACTCAAGTTTGCGCCGTGCTGAAGGATTTTTTGGGAAATTTTCGAAATTGTTTGATGCTTTTAAGGACGTTTTTGTGTAAGAGTTTGTCTTCCGTAGTCGATAATTTGTTATGTGAAACAGCACGATTCTTGCTTATTTTTGCGGCTTGTAGACTAATGTCACTTGTTTTAAAGCCAGAAGTTTCAAATTCAAGTCATCCTCAGGAGAGTTTTGAGAATGTTTACAAATTCAATGAATTTTTCAATTTCGATTGTGTATAAGCTCAACTTTCATAGTCGCGTGTTTTTAAACAGGCTGTGCTTAAAACTTACATTGTCGTGCACTTTAGAGGGCAAAGTCACTGGCACGAATGTCGAAAGTTTCGAATTTGCCCCGCGATGAAGGCATTTTTGAGAAATTTTCAAAATTGATCGCTTCTTCCAACAACGCTATTGTGTACAAATGTCTTCCGCCATCGATAACTTTTGAATCAATACAGAGCGAAGCTTGGGAATTATTGCATCTTGTAGTGTAATATCACTGGAATAAATTTTAGAAATTTCTATTGTAGGTCATCATCAGACATTTTCTGAAAAAATTTTCAATTTTTATGGGTTCTTGCAGTTGCGCTATTGTACACGCTCAACTTGGGCACTTGATAACTTTTAAACCGGCAGGCGCAATATTTTTTGTTTTGGCGCACTGTATAGAATAACGGCACGTGCACAAATAGTGTGAGTTTCGAATTAATGCAATAGCAAAGGGATTTTTTGGAAAATTTCAAATTTGACTTATTTTTCCTAGAGTGCGATTCCACAAATTCCTCATCCGAATTTGATAACTTTGAAAGCGAGGGAGCCAAAAATTTGTATGTTCCAGTGCTTCTAGAGTACGACCCACCAGTATCTAACACTAAGAGTTTTGAATTTAACGCATTTTCCAGGAATTTGTGGAAATATTTTGAAACAATACTTTTATTTTTTAAATTTTAGATTTAAGCAGTGACTCAACAACTTAAAAGTTGACGACTTGAGTGTTGCCTTTTATAGAGTTTCGAGCCTACACCATCATCAGGAAAATTTGCTCGATTTGTTTAAAATTTTTGGTTTAATTTACTGTCTAAAGATCATCTTTAGAAAAGCTTTAGAATATTAACGACTTGAATTTTCTCCCTTTATTCTGAATACTTTTTGGCCGATAATTGTAATTGACTTATTTCATTTGAGCTATCAACCACAGTTTTCTATGAATATTTCGCATTTACGCGTTCGCACTTCCAAAGCCAAAGTAATTTTCCATAGTAAAACCTCACCCTTGCCCGTACTTTGTCTGATTTATTTATGTAAAATCGCTTATATAATACTATATACATCGTCATAAACCAAACACATTGAATAGTATAATAAGAAAAAGGAACATAAATATCTAAGTCCAGTGTTTGATCCACAGGAGCATCACAATATACACAACAATGTACAAGAGGAAAATATTTACAAATGCTGCACTATACACAATTAAACCGTCTGTAGCCCTTTGGTGATACTCTCCACGTGTTCTTTGGCTTTGAGGCGCAGGGCGTTAATGGAGTTGGTTCGGAGGTCCGGAGGGGCGGCACTTGGTGAGTGAGAGTGAGCGACCGGGGGCGGCGGCCGCGCTGATTCTGCCGCTATGGGCGACGTCAGATAACTGGGGTAGCCGGTCTGAGGATGGCTCAGAAACCCTGGAAGGGCGGAGAGCAGGGGCGGCGATAGCCAAGGATCCATGGGCAAAGTGAGGCTGGAGCCTCCGACTCTGGATAAAGTGGCAGCTGCGTGGTAGTCGCTCAAACCGAGCCGGGCTGCTTCCATTTTTTCTTGTCTTCGCCATTTGGCACGACGATTTTGGAACCAAACCTGCAACAATTCATTCACGACTGTTTTAACAGGAATTTAAGCGGCAGTCAGAGATGGTTTTCTTTGCTATATCGCATCAAGTATTAATGGTATTTTCCCCTCAATGTCCATTCATCATGTTTGATTAATCACGCTTATTACCTCACGTACATCCCATAAATACAATCGACTCGAAACTGTTTCAATATTAACGAAAACTATAGATAAAATCGAAACGTACATACGCATATGCCTTTGACAAACGAGGATACTATTTAGAAAACGAGCGAAATGGAAATACGGCTAATAAAACAGACAACGTCCATTATCAAATAACCCAGGTGTTTATCTAGTAAATGGATATAAAATTGGTCTTACATTTACTATTAAACATATAGCTTTTTGACATGCTGACAAAGTAAGCAAATATAATTTATAACCACCTGTTTGTCTATCTAGCCGCTGTGTTTTACTAATCACTTTTCAATTTACCTAATTATTAGTCTTTATTCCCCCTACTGCTGGTCATTGATTTCTTCACCTCGATTATGACATCCTCTACGGGCAGTTTCCAGTCAATTTTTCAATATTTCAGTTTTTTTCAGTTGTCCTTAATGTTAATTTAAAAGCCTTGCTTTTAAAAAAAAGTTTTGAGGTTTGCAGTTTTGCTTTTTAATTTAAGACATACTCTCTTAACTTTCTTCTTTATTTCAATTTTTCACTTTGCGCTGTTTAGCTTTCGCAATGATTTTAGCAAAAGTAACGAAAACAAATCTGGTAGTAGTTGACACTTACAAATAGTAAAACTTGCAGAATTTCTTCGTCTAATCTTTCTTTGTGCATTTAGAAGACTTTGAGTCTTCACTCGTGAAACTTGAGGTTTCGAGACGATTTTAAGCTTGTCCAGAATTGAACGAAAAGTGTAGGTTTGCAATCAAGTGAAACTTCTCGAATTTATTCTCCCAATCTTCCTTTACACATCCGCACTATTTCGAGCCTTCACTTTTAAAATTTTAGCGTTTACAACAGTTTTAGGCATGATAGTGAAAATATGCATTGGAGACAAATTTAATCGCAAAAGATAGACTTTCGAGGCCATTCCTTGAAACTAGTGGGTTTTTCTGGTTTTCAGGTCGTCGTAAAATGGAATTGTTTCCTCACGTTTCGCAAGCCACTAGTGAATGCAACTTCGAAACTTTACACATTCGTACAAGTGACTCAGCGCGTTTAAAAATTATCGACTAGGGAAGTTGAGCTTATGTAAAATCGAAATTGAAAAATTACAGAATTTTGAAAAATTCTCAAAACTCTCCTGAGGATGAGGTCAATAGGAAACTTCTGACTTTAATACAAGTGACATTAGTCTGCAAGGCGCAAAAATAGGCAAAGATTCGTCCTGTTTCACGTAACAAATTATCGACTACGGAAGACAAACTCTTACACAAAGACGTCCTTAAAAGCATCAAACTTTTTCGCAAAAAATTTCCCAAAAAATCCTTCAGCACGGCGCAAACTTGAGTCCTTCGACACTCGAACATGTGAAAAGTGAACGAGTTTTTTAGCTCCACCGTTTAAAAATTATCAAGTGCAAACTTATAACTAATTGCGCCCCATAATCAAACAACTTTGAAAATTTCTGAAAAATTTGTTTAAAATGGAATCAATCCGAAACTTTCAGCATTTGTACAAGTGAATTTCGTCTAAAAAGTGCAGCACAACATGAGTTTTTATCGCTGTCCGGTTGAAAGTTTGCAACTGCGTAGTCGAGATTGTTCAATCGGGAAGCATCAATCAACTTTCAAAGATTCACAATAATTTCCTAATTACGGCATAAATTTGAAACTTTTAGCGTTAATGGGGATTATTTTTCTTTAGAAAGACCGAGAATGGCCAAAGCTGGTATTCAATCGATTCAAAAAAAATCAACTGCAGAAAACCAACTCGTACAATGGCACTCTTGGCTGAATCAATTAATTTTGAAAATTTCTTAAATATGTCTTGACGGCGGCGTTCATTTGTAACTTTTGTCATTTATTCAGTAGTATTTAGTCTATAAAGTGCAGAACAATATGACTTTGTACCTGTGTCAATTTAAAAGTTATCAAATCGGGAACCCGAGCTTGCACAATAGCGCACTTGTACGAGACATTCAAACTTGAAAATTTCTAAAAAATGTCTTGATTAAAGCATTAATTCGAATTTATCGACACTTGTACAAATGCCCTTATTCGACAAAATGATGAAAAATAAGGTTTTTCGCTCCACCCGTTTCAAAGTTAACAAATGCGGAATTTGATACTGTACAAGAGCGCGCTTCAAATGATCAAGCAACTTCGATAATTTCTGAAAAATCGCTTCGTAGAATTGAATTTATTCCAGAAACTGTGGAAAAAGATTGATTTTTAGCTCCATCGGTTTCAGAGTCATTAAATAGTAATTAAAAGCACACTAGTGCTTGCGAAACGTGAAGAAAAAATTCCATTTGACGACGGCCTAAAAACCCGAAAAACCCATTAGTTTCGAATTTAGTCGCTTTCGTTTATTTTAGTCAATTCAGACCTTTTGAACGCACTTGGAAGATTTCCAGTCTTCCTCTTTAAGCTTGAAGGTTTGCAACGACTTTAAACTTGCCCAGAATTGCAAAAACTATTGAAGTTTTCGTTATTTTAATACACTGACACTCTCCTAATTTCTGCTTTTGATCTTCCTATTCACTTCCACACTCCAAAGACTAGAGCTGTAAGAATATTAAAAGCGAATCAAGTTTTCGTTTTCGGCTCAGGAAAAACTTTCAAAATTTATTCCCTCAATTTTCCTTCATACTCTTACAAGATTTCAAGTTTTCACTCTTTACGGTTAAGGGTTTGCATCGATTTTAAGCCTGTGAATAATTGAAAAAATTCCTTGAATACCGAGTTGATAGTTTTCGCCGCTTTAACCAAATGCAACCTTCAGAGTTTTTTCTATAAACCCTTCTTCTGAAATGTTTTCCACTCAACGCTTCGCTGTTTTACGTTCACGATCTACAACGCTTTTAAAGTACCGAAAATAAAAAAGTTGCAACGTCCAAAGACATACTTCGTAGAATTTGCTATTTCTATCAAATCAAGCTCATGCCCAGAATTAAAAATTTGTATATCATGAAGACCAATTCAGTGGCTTTTGCTATTTTAATAATGTGAATTGTTATCTTTTCTCCGTGCAATCTTCCCTCGACACTGAAAACTTTAAGTGTTCGCTCCCCACACTTTTGTTTTTTTCACAAATTTCTCTTTCGAATAGCAGTTCAGTAGCTCCAGTTCTCACTTTAAACACGTCAAAATTCTCAAGTTTTCATTGTTAAACGCTAAGGTTCGATGGTATTTTAACATGTGCAGACTTGCTAAAAATGGACACATTTAAAGCCAGAACAGTTTTGGGCATTTTGATCAAGTGAAACTTTCGAGTGTCTGAACTGCGGAAAGAAAGGCGATTGAAAACGAAATCCCCCCAAATGATAGAGAAATCAAAATAAGTCTATTAATGAAGAAATGAATGTCTGCTGACTAAGCTGCAAATTGGCAAAACATTTTTAGAAGCAAGCTAGTGCGCTTTTATGCGTCTTATCAAACCTTTCTGCTGTTGCATTGCGTTATTTCTTCAATTCAATGCTTGAAAATACTAGAGAAAGCTACTGGAAACTAGCATGAGCTACCGCACACGTTTGAAGTTGCCTGGAAGCTTAGACTTTGCTACTTTCAAGGGTATAAAAATACATGTGTGTCATACATGCGTGGATTATGCGAGAGAAAATCTCACCAGACAAATTAACAGCATTAATTGAAAGAAAATTAAGATTCTCGCTTGCAGTGATGTCAAATAAACCTCCCAGTCTGGATGTACCGAAGGATTACATCCAGCCATCAACAACTTGCAAAGAAACGCAAATAAACGACAAAGTTGTTTCTGAATAGGGAAATAATTACCCATCCCTGATGTAAAGCAATCATCCATCCTTCGCTCCATTATGCACGCTTTACCGTTCAGCCCAAAATAAATTGTATGCCCGTAACAGTCTTATTAAAATCTTGATTAATAACCGCTAAATTGAGTGTTAAATTCATTACACAAAGTGAATAAATTGAAGATTAATTAACCATTGATAATTTAAACTCGCTAGTCCGTGGCTTAACGAGGTTAAAATTTGCATTTGAGGACGGAAAGCACTTTAGCAAGCACAAACACAATTAGGAGGGGCGACGCAATCGCCGCCGTCGCTTAGAAAAATATTAAAAGTGAAACATTATTGGTGCCGTCACAACCAACGGCATTCGATTTTGCATCTTTTGCAAATTTGTCGGTTTTGTCATCGAATTTCCACCAGCCAGCAAGTGCTAGAGGTATTGATCTTGACGGGATCCTTGTTAGAAAGCAAATCGCAAGATTCCCTCTAATAACCGAGGAGTGGCAGTTAAATTGGCTTCGGCATTAACATTTGACAAAGAATACAAAAATCTGCCTTTGACATCTGATTGAGGGCAGCTCAGCTGCTCAGCTTGACGTACAAGCCTCCGAATGCTTAGTGTAAGGCGTCGGACTGTTCGTGTTAGCTTCCAAATTTATTCCAAATTGTCCTCTATTTGCCCAGGAATGGATTATTCTGCGCGATGAAACAGCACAGAATAATACGGAAGCACAGTCTGAATCTCATCGGACTATTCTTACATTCGTTTTAGCTGAATCTTCGCGGGATCTTCATCAATGGGGACTTTTTGTGTGGTTCTCTTAAAGAGATTCACGTTTATACCAGGTGTATTTCAGACCACATTCTAGATTCCTCAAGGTGTCATATCTTTGAAAATGGGAAAAAATGAGTGTTTTACTGGCACTTCTGATTGCATCTTTACTCAACTGCAGTTTCTTAATACAAAATCAGAAACTTTACAACTGGAACAAATATCTTTTGGGGGGATTTTTCAGCGTCGGTAGATCACAGTCCATTATTTAATTTCGAAAAATTTTCTTGTTTAGCCAAAATTCTT